AATATTTATTAACTACATGTATTTACTATATAGTTAGGGTTAGGGTTAGGGTTTCTTGCATGTAATGAATTGTTATTATAATAGTAAGTACACATAACTTGTGTAACAAGGACACCTTAAAATAAAGTGTTACAGATATTTTTAACTCTGTCTCTCAAACACCTGTGTTATCTTCCTCTGTGGACACACAGTTGATCTTTTTCTCATGAAGTGAGAGAGTTTGATTGACAGTAAAGAATAAACATCATGGTTGTGCCATACATATATATCTCAGTGACGTTACAGACAGCTAGTCTTTTTTAGTTTTTGGTGTTCTGCCTTTCATTATGATAGACCGTGGAGAGCAGACGGGCAGGGATCGGGAAAGGTCCTCAAGCCGGGATTTGAACTCGGGACGGCGTAACGCAACAGCGCTATATGCTAGCTCACTTGCCCACAAGGCTATCGACGCGGACAGACAGCTAGTCTTTGATTGCGCAGCACACATCAGCCCAGCTCATGATAATCTGAGCTACTGAACGCTGTTACCTGTTCATGACTGAACGGTGTATGAACAGAAGTGAGTTTAGTCCTGGCAGTATTGTTATGTTAGATCTTCGCAGCAGCGTCACACAGCCGATGTGTGTCAGTCTCTCTGTAACCGTACCCATCTCTGGTTGGTCTGCAGGTGAAGCCGCTCATTTGGATCGAGTCGGTTATTGAGAAGTTCTCTCACAGTCGGGTGGAGATCATGGTGAAGGTTTGTGAGCAAGACTCATATTTTCAGCGTTGTCCAGTATATGAAGACAGATCTGATCCAGTCTCACTCTTTCTCTCTATTCCAGGCTAAAGGCCAGTTTAAAAAGCAGTCCGTGGCCAATAATGTGGAGATCCGCGTGCCGGTGCCGAGCGATGCCGACTCTCCCAAGTTCAAAACCAGCACAGGTCACGCTAAATACGTTCCTGAGAAGAACCTGGTGGTGTGGAGCATTAAGTCCTTCCCGGTGAGAAAGCGATTACAGATGCTTAGAGAAAGCATCTGTCCTGAGATCTTATGCTTTATAAGACCCTTGTCAGTTTTGTTGAATCTGTAAATCTGAGCTCTGGTGTGGTCGACAGGGTGGAAAGGAGCTTCTGATGCGCGCTCACTTCGGTCTGCCGAGTGTGGAGAATCACGAGCTGGAGGGAAAGCCTCCGATCACCGTCAGGTTTGAGATCCCGTACTTCACCGTGTCCGGCATACAGGTGCACTCTATTTACACTCATGTCACCGTGTTTAATGTCCTGATTAAAGAGAGAGTTCACCCAAAAATCTCAATTCTGTCATTAATTACTCGCCCTCACGTCGTTCCAAACCCCTAAGACCTTCGTTCATCTTTGTGCACAAAAAGCATTCTCGTAGCTTCGTAACATTAGGGTTGAACATGGATTATTTGAACATGTCCGTGCTGTGTTTCTGAGGCTTGATCGTGTCGGGACCCTTGCTGTCTGTGCAGGGTTCATCAGCTCATCAGAAATATCTTCATCTGTGTTCTGAAGATGAACGAAGAGAACGACGTGCGGGCGAGTAATTAATGACAGAGTTTATATTTTTGGGGGAACTATTCTTTTAAGATCTGAAGTGAGAAAGTATGATCAGTTCTCTAAAGTTTGATATTACTGTGAAGGTGCGGTACATGAAGATCATCGAGAAGAGCGGCTATCAGGCGCTGCCGTGGGTCCGCTACATCACACAGAGCGGCGGTGAGCTTTCACAACACCGGCTTTATATTTTATTAGGCTTTCTTATTCAAATAAGCAACAGTGTGAAACTTGCATATGGTCAGTCTGTTGAGATTTTTATTACCTTAAATTATACGTAGGAATTACACTGATGCAATATAACACTAATATAAGAAAAACAGAAGATTAAATAATGCGCTATGTACAGAAGCAGAAATATAGGAGGGGGGGGGCATAATTGTTTAAGTGAATGTACAGGTATGTTAAGTGTGCAGATATATTCTTTACAAATGATCCCACAAAGCAGGTTTTAATAAAGACTATGTTGTTCGTGTAGCAGATCAGAGGATCTGAAGAGGATGACTGGTGTTAATTATCATCATGTAGTATTTATATCTGTGTATGTTTACTCAGATTACCAGCTGAGGACGAACAGTTAATGAGACCAGACGAGAACTGCACAGCAATTATGCGGAAGAAGTTTATTAAATGTTTTTGTGTCTGTGTTATTAGTTGGTTTTATCCTGGCAGAATTTCATTAGAAAAAATGATTGTATAAATCGTTGACGTTGAATGTAAACACTCAGCATTTCAGTCATTTTCAAGTGTTTCCGAAGTCATGGAATATGTTGTCAATCATTTCTGTTTAATTTGGCAATAAATTGAATATATTTGTCCTGAAAAAATTACTGATATAAATCTAAATATGTTTATTATCATGAGCGTGTCTTGGCACGAAAGCCTGCTCTTTTACACTCTCTCTCACTCACACACACACACACACACACACACACTCTCT